TGAAGTATCATGTTATTTGAGTAGGCTTATCAATTCTTCGAATTTACTGAATTTTAAAAATTTTGAAATTACTTAATTGTATTTTTTTTATTACTTTGTTGTATTTTCGAATTATTACTATTTTACATAGTTGAAAGTCACAGCATGTTTGAATATTTTCGCAGGTTCAGAAAATAACGAAAATTCCAAAATTTTGAATTTTATGAAATTATTAAATTTCTTGAGATTTCTTATATTTAGGATAGTTTCCAAAATTTCAAAAACTTTTCAAATCCGCGAGTTTCTCTAAATTTTTATATTTTCCAAAATTTTGAGAATCATATTTATTCTAAAATCCATCCTAAAATGTAAAAATGTGAAACATCACAAATTGTCGAAAAATTCTTATGTTCATGGTACTTATGTATAAAACCTAGAAAATTCTTAAATATATTAACATTTTTGAAAAATTTCAAAAATTGTCCACCCTTCCGAACTTTTCCAAAATTTTGTATTGATATAACAAAGTTTGAGAATTTTAAATTTTTTTGAAAATTTTAAAAACATTAACGTCCAAAAACTTTTTGAATCTTCAAGAATTGCGGAAATAAAACCACGAAATATGAAAATGTCTTCAACATTCGAAAACTTTTAATTTCGTTTGATCAATTTTGTATATTCGTCACATTTACTTAGAAAAAATTTGCTAGAATTTCTGCAATTCTCAAAATTTTTTCAAAAATCAAAAGTTTCTAGAAATCTAGTATTACTTAGTAGTTGTGCGTAGAGGGCAATAAGAAGGCAACATTTTTTGGTAGAAAAGAAAACGCCATAAGAAGCTATTTACTTCACAAATTCGTTTAGTTCGTATCAAATTTTTTGTTGTAATGAAAGACAAATTTCGACAAAAAAAAATTACAATACATATATTACTTTCTCTTTTGAAAAATGGGAGGGTTAAACGCCAGTTTTGTCATATAGTTTGTTCGCCATGCTTGCTTGCTAATCGTAGAATTTGAATTTGCTATATGCTTTCTTCGATAATTTTGACCCGAACGAATTATCCGCTGTTAGCTTATATAGTTTTGTATCAACGACTGGCAAATTTATACTACTTCTGTGCATTAAAAAATTAGGTAGCAAAAGGGTGTATTTTTTCCTATAAATGCAGTATATTGGAAAAAACAGCAGGTATCAATTTTTGAAATCCAGAAAAAAGTATTAAGCTAATGATTTTAACTTTCACTGTGTTGTACTATCGAAACCCTTTCTTTAAGGCTTCTACAAGCATCCTGAACGCCATAGCAGTCTACTGCATCTTTTACACGAAGAGGTTGGTGACATTGTCTACATAAGAAATACAAGCGCCAGCGAAGGAATGAAGCAATGCTTTGAGCTGACTATCGATGAAATTAGAAAGAATAATAAATACCTTATAATTCTGTATCCTGTACAGGAATTGCCATATCCCGAAAGTGGTAAGTCTAATTAAGGTATTTTATTCCTTTTCCATAAATGTTTATAATTAAAATTTAATTTTATGCATAGAATCGAAAATATTATGCCCCAATTGGAAACGTTTCTCCACTGCTTTTATGAACACCTCAGAAGTGTTGGACTACATGCGTTTGTTGTTTAGCAAAAAGGATACATCACCGGTACAAAATGAAGGTTGGGTATTTCAGGCGACACGCAGCATGGAACAGTCATTGGTTGGTAGAAAAACAAAAATAATAATTTTTTTTGTAAACTAAGAGTTCGTACAAATACAAACTTACATTCGCCCTTTTAGAATAACAAAAAACTGGAGACTGCCAAAGAGCGTGCTGGCATTTTGAATCCGAAAGTCACTAGCTGGCTAAAAGGTCCTTGGAGTTTAACTGCAAATGTTGTAGCGCTCGATTATTTTAGCAATACGAATATCATCGATGTCGCCATTTATGCTAACATGCATAAAGCTTTCAATATGGCTAATAAGAACTTTGTGAATTTTGAAATTTTAAGTAATTAGCGTAAGCAATAATTTTTTAGTTTAGTAATTGTGTAAATTAAAATGAATATACATACATACTCGTACGTATACATATGGCGCGCATTGTTGCTACAAACAATGACATAACTTACATAAACCATAATGTTGAGAAATATCCAATTAAAAAAAAAAACATTGCTTTAGTTGCTAATGCCAAATTCAGACTAGGCATTTAAATGACAAAATTTACGAAAAATTTAACTACCAATAAAAAATTACATGTAATGCCGAATTTTCACCAGGCATTGAAATGACAAAAAATGTATGTCATTTAAAAAAATGCCATGTGGAAATGAACTTAATGACTATTTTTTTTAATGTAATGACACGATTATTTTTAATGCCCGACTTTGTCGTTTGTCATTTTTTGCCCTTTAATGCCTAGTGGAAGTCCAGCAAAATGGCACTCGGTTTTTCAATGCCCAAATGTATCATTAACATTGTGTGTCACTTTATGCCCAGTGAACATCCGGTATAAGTATATAATAAAGGGTGTATTTTTAAGAGGTAAAGAAATTTAAATTTAAATAAAAAAGAGAGTATATATTTTGAACTACAAATTTACTTTATCGAAAAAGTAGTTGTATGCCATTAGTGTTTGAATAAAATTCGGGGCATATGGGCGTCGTGGCTAATCCTTAACAAAACGATACGTAAGCTGAATGCTCTTTTCTGCATATTGGTACTGGCTTCACTTGGCATTTCCAATTGGCGACAGAAGAGAGACGACTGGCGTGCCAGCGCCAAACAAGAAGTCCGTTCAAAAAAAACTGCAAACAATACTAACTACGGCACGTCGCTTACATCTTCGGACGTTTCTTAAAATTGCTGAACTTATTTAACAATCGAATACATTTCCTAGAGTATTTTTATTTTTTTTTTTTTGTAAATACATATACGAGTATTAAAGACATTTTTAATAATACATACTAAATTTACTTACAAAAGCTGTTTATTGATATTTATAATTTCTCATTTAGTTCTTACCCAGATTTAACATTTTTTATATTCTCATTTACAACATTAGCAATACAAAGCAAATCAGGTTTACTAAAGTGTAGGCTGTCGTTGCATATGTATAAGTAAATATGGTTCCAAGCATTCATATGTGTTTTACATTAGACCGGGTCGATGCCCAGCTTCTTATCTTACAGTTACCCGAATATAAAAATGAATCGCTGCCCGTTATTTAGTCGTACAAAAGCTCGAAAACGGCTTGATTAATTTGAAAACTTTTTTTTTTTGGTTCGTTATATGCGAATGATTTAAAAAAAAAGTAGAGCTGCCACATGATTAAAATAATAAAATAATAAAATGATAAGTTAATTTTTCCAATATGGGCATCAAATGAAGCTTAGGAGAGCTTAGTGTTGAAAAATAAACTTTAGGAGGCTTGTCACCTGTTTGATAATTTTACTTCAATTAAAGTTATAAGATAAATGAAATATTGCAGTACGGGTTTCAAACTAAAGAGGTTTAAGAAATCATAATTTTGAAGATATTTTTGAACATGGTTGCCAGTGTTTGAAAAATGTAATTTATTAAAATTTGTGAGGATAATGAAATGCTGTTATATGAGTGTCAAAGTAAATTGGTTTGAGAAAGCTTAATTTGGAAAATATTTTTGAATAGGGTTGCCACTTGTTTGAAAATTTTCATTCACTAAAATGGATAAGATCAATGAATTGCTGCAATTTGGGTATTAAAGGAAAGGTATTTGAAAACTTTTTGGTTAAGAAATATTTTTCAAGGGGTCACCTATATAAAAAGTCGAAATTTAAAATATTGAAATTAAATTAAGTATTGCAAAGATGGCTACCAAACTAAAAGTGTTTGAGGAAACTTTAGTTGCGATCCCGTACGAGTCCGGACTAGTCAGAAATAGTCAGAATCAGTCAGATTTTACTGGAAATCGATCCCGTACTCGGTTCTCTGACTATTGAGAGGACAAAAAAGAGAGTAAATACGGTTCTCTCTCTGTCAGAAGTTACCAGTTTTAGTCCGAGAATTTTTTGCTGGTAAATTCTGGTAAATGTGTCAAACGATCAGCTGTAGTGTGTTTGGCAGCCAAATTGTAAACAAAAGAAAAGTGCACTCTGCTAATTCATGTTGAAAAGTATTTAATTACTTGTTTAAGTGGATTCTAATGAATTTGAAAATATATTTGGTTATTTACATGTGTGACCTGAGTGTGTTTACATACAAAATAAGCAAAATTTTCCACCCAAAATTTGGAGGTTATGTTGAAGTTGACAGAATTTACCATTTTTTACTAGAAAGCGATCCCGTACTTTTCAATGTTACTCTCGCTCTGAGCGAATTTTTATTTTTTGACAGTTTTACTAGTCCGAGTCCGAGGAATACGGGATTGCACCTTTTATTAGAAGGCACTTCAAAAAATTTGAATGAAGAAAGAATTTACAACGTTTAATCAAACGAAGTGTTCAAAAATACGTTGCTCAAAAAAAAAATTTCAAAAGGGTTGCTACTGACTTCCCATGACAGTGTTTACTGAGCGTCGTGAATAGAATTTTTGCATATATATATAACACAAAGTGTTAAATAAATAAATGCATAAATTGCATAAAAGTAATTTTGTCATGACCCAGCTTAATGTACAGTGTATGTCTTCACATATATACATACATACATAAATATAGTATTTGTATTTATAAACAGCGTGTTTTAAATAATCTCACATTAATTAAATAAGTATTTTTCTGAAAGCCGGCCATATAAAAGGCGGTTACTTTAAGAAAATTTACATTTTAATCAGTTTTATTAACATGAGTAAAACAACAATGAAATTCATATGGATTGTCGCTTTCGTTTTACTTGCGCTGGCCACACTAGCAGCGGCGCAAGATGTACAATGTCCTGGAAGGCCACGTAAAAGCCCTTTGACTTTTGATAGAAAATATATTTTTAATAAATAAAAATTATTATTTACCCTTAATTTAGCAACCCAACTATGTCTGAAGCCAAAGAATGTTGGTACATCCGGTCGTGGCTGTCAGCCCAGACAAATGTGGCACTTCAATGAAAGGGCGCAAAGATGTGAGCGTCTGAATTATCTCGGCTGTGGAGGGAATGAGAATCGTTTCTGCACCTTGGAGGGCTGCCGGAATTCTTGCATTTGATGGAGGAAGTCTATACAAAATTTACTTATGTATATGTACATTTACATTTTATGGGAAAAATATGTTACAAAATTCTTTATTATGCACTTATGCACTTTATTTATTGTTTACTACTTTTTTATAAAAATAGGCGTCAAACAAATCCAAATTTAAACCTTGTATAAAAATTTAACAAAAAGTACCATTTCGGATATTAAAAAAAAAAATAGGTCTGCGGTGTTTTATCCTATTGAATTTTAGTAGAGTTTGAATAAAATGTCATTTAGAAAAGTTGCTTATTGTGTCAAGGTACCACAAAATTTCAGTATAAAAGACAACTTACATTTCATAGCATATATTTATGCTACATAAATTTGTTTAATTGCTTTTATAGGTGGCAATTCCTTTTAAAACATTTTCAAATCAATCACCCCTATTGCGAGTGTCGACTGGTAGTAGATAAACGACTATTATTCGATTATCGCTTTTCCATGGTATTGTGAACGTCGTTGTCTCATTCAATGAGTTAGTGTGAATAACTTATAGGCGTTTATCATTCAACAAACAAACAGTTGAAGAAGGACGAGCGATTAAAATCTAGTCACAGTTGCTTATTGAACGAAAAATCGACATTCACAATACTATGGAAAAGCGATAATCGAATAATAGTCGTTTATCTACTACTAGTCGACACTCGCAATAGGGGTGAATATCTCGCTTTTCTATCCAGGTTATTTCCATCTACATAGTACTGCCAATGAACTGTTGGTCAGAGGATTGAAAGTGTTTTTTTTTTTTGCTCAAAATATTTTTATACTCTACAGAAGCAAAAGGAGATAATCGAAAGCTTTTACGTTATGGTTTTCGGTGTTGTAGGGTGTTGACTGTTTATTAGATAACACCGCCCTACAAAAACATAATCTCAAATGGCAGACCAGCATAGTTATATCTTTTCTATTTTGAATCGCTGAAATAACTCATATTTTGTTTTAATATTTTAACTCTGATCATCGTTTATTGCAAAATGTTCAATGAAAGCTGCCAAATTTGTGCTATTGCAGTTATTAGTCTAAGCACCTTTGATTCAGTTAGCTTTTAAAATTTATCTTCCCTTTAAACCAGGGACCGTAACGGTTATGATCTTTATAATGAAAATCATAATTTTATTGTTAAAATTGAGTTTATATTTTTCCGATTAAAAATAATCGCTAAATTTTGATTTTTATTGAAAAAATATATAATAATCGTTATTTTTGGATTTTTAGTTTTTTCGGTCATCCCATAACCATTATTTTCAATATATTATTATTTTTTATATCACAAAGAATTTGAAATGCTCATAAAAAAGCAGACTGATTATAACGGTTAAAAATAAGCGAAAAAATAAAAATAAAATTTTAACTATTATTTTTAATTTAAAAAAAAATTTTAAAAACAACGATTTTCCAATTATCTAAAACTAAATATGTTGGTATTTAATAGGTATTTTCGGTCCCTGCTTTCAACACTAATTTTGTTCTCAAAAAATCTATTTGAAGGGCAGATAAATTTTAAAAGCTACTTGAGAACGCAGCCTTAAGTCCAACAACAGGTTTATATACTACATACATATAAAAAGTCTTTAAATCATCTTTCCAAAATATAATTGAAAGTTAAAATCGCATAAAAAATAGTCGAGTAATACCTAGATGAGCACATCAAGAGTACAAGTGGCGATCGTAATCAGCGATAGCGAATGTTGGAATCCGGCTGCTGGTCTATCGCTCTTTAGATTTTTATTTTTTTTTTAGGGCGGTATAATTTAAATTATCTTTTTTATCTCTTTAAAAAGCAATGCACTTTTCTTCTATAGAAATAACGCCTCGATTACTTTGTACTTTTTCGATTGGTTTTATCCCTTTGTTCCCTTTAGCCAGGCTACACTGTAAAGTGCATATACATATATTCGACATGTTTACGCTTATAGCTAAATGTAAATGCAATATTCAATACATCATATGTTTATTTTATACGCCATGAGCTCAAAACGCAAATTCCCGCCAGTGTGATTCATCACAATAAGTAATCAATGCTGCTGTAGCTGAATACAAGTTTGTGCCTGGCTTAAATGTTTGCATGCTAAAAGTAAAAAAAAAAAAATGTATGTATGTATGATTAATACAGACAAACGTAAATACATACATACCGAAGTGCATATTTTGCCTTATATGCGTCTTCTCTAATGCCTTATTGGTGTTGCAGTAAATATTCGGCAATGCGATATACGCATTTGGCAAGTTGCAATAAGTTGAGACGGGTGAACAGAGGCAAAGTGCGCTGCAAAGTGTTTCATGCTATATGTATATGCGTTTTAAGCTTTTTCGAAAATGAAGGTGAATATTCTTTGATTGTAGTTGTAGAATGAAAAAAACGGGCAATCTTTCGGAGAGCTGTACAGGACTAGTGAAACAATAAAAGAGAAGATTATTCAAATCAATAATTTTATAATGATAATTAACGATTTTACAACTTACATACCTTCTCGTTAAGTACAAGACGTAAGTTTATCTAATGGCTACTCTCTTTTTAGCTGTTTACGCAGCAATCTTCAGCTAAGTTGGTGGTTTAGTCATCTTCTCCTTCATTTGTCAACCCCAGTCATAGTCCCAGAACGCGCGCGGTTTCCCTTGAAGGAATTCAGATTTCATATAGGTCTGATTTGAAGAGAAGTTGCGATAGTGTTTTACTGACCGTTGCCGCATGCTGATCAGATTTTTTTTGTAGGAATAAAACTTTATGTGCATTATGTTTCCGTTACTGATGATGATTGTGGTTGCAACCGGACCACTATAAAGGCTCTTACTATTATTTGTGTTGTTGTAACAACACGTTGCCTCCAAATCGAGCGTCGCCAGATCTCTTTCTATCCAAAAATGTGCTGTGCTGCGCAAAGTATTTATACTCCACATGTCTGAAGACATGGAACTTGGCTAATATACCAGGCAATTGCAGCGGTGTTGCAAGTTTCATCAGTGCTGTCTATGGACACCTACTTGTCAACTACAATGAAAATAATTAAGCAAACTTACATGGTCCTACTATGTACATTAGACTGCATCACTCCCCATACAAAAAAAATCGGTACTATTTTTCCATTGGAACTATAAAATCTATTATATTTTAAGACGTCCACCAAAATATTTCGGAAAAATATTAAGATTTAAGTGAGCTGGACCGATTTGAAAATACCTCCAAAAATTGAGTTTTTTATGAGTAAAAATAGTTTCTTAAAAATTTTTTTTTGAAAAAATCGCCTCAAATGACAAAACGGTTTAAGGTTAAAAAATTTGCGTAAAAATATTTTTAAAAATTTTTAAAAAAATTTGAACGCAATCGTGATAATGAGATTTTTGATGCTGTTTTTAACTTTTTTCAAAGATTGTTATAAAAAAAACTTGAATAACTGAGCCTAAACTCTCCCGATTTAGACTTGTGAGATATCATTGGAAAGGTATTTTCTCATCCTTTTTATTTCTTTGCTAATAAAATCATTCAAACGATGGAAGAGAAAGGTAGGATGAACGAACGTAATTTAAAGTGGAATTAAGATGTGTTGGTATTCGAAAAAACAAGATGGGACACGAATGGCGTTTTTTTGGCCAGAAATAAACACAGTGTGAAAATACCTTTCTACTGAGATCCCATAATTCTAAATCAGAACATTTTTGGCCCAGTTATTCAAGTTTTTCGTAAACCAATCTTTGAAAAATGTAAAAAAACAGCATCAAAAATTTCATTCTTACGATTCCGTTGAAAAGATTTTTAAATATTTGTATGCAGATTTTTTAAGCTTAATCTAATTTGTCATCTGAGGGGACTTTTTTCAAAAAGTTCTTTAAGATACTATTTTTATTCATAAAAAGCTTCATTTTTGGAGGTATTTTCAAATCGGTCCAACTCGCTTTAATCTTAATATTTTTCCGAAAAATTTTGGTGGACGTCTTAAAATATAATCAATTTTGTAATCCCGGCGGAAAAACCGCAACTTTTTTTGGTGATGCACATATATTCTATGCTCGTATATCCGCAACAAACCGTTCGTGTCGGCCAAAACGTGCCGCGATTATACCCAATCGACGACAATCATTTCATCTACACCTCCTTCATCTGCTCACCGTCAACCGGTATATCGTTAAAGCTCCAGTGGGTATAATTATAGACAAACTCTTATCCAACTTCATTCTGGTCAACATCGTATACTTCGAATTTGGACAACATCAAAAATCAGGCAATCATCGAGACTCATTTTCTCGGCCGCCTTAGACTCAATCAAATGATAACCACATCAAGTCATGACTTAGCTCCCTTGAGCAGGGGTCTAAATACTGTGGGGGTCTACATACATATGTACATTAGACCGTACCACCTTCCAAGCAAACAAAAAAGTTCGCCCTGAGTTGTTAAGTATTTTTGCAAGGCCATTTCGAAAAATTGATTTTCACTAGATCCACGTGTTGCCCTTTTACATTTTTTGGTGACACCAAGAAGAATTCATAAGGTGGTAGCGGTAGTACAAAAACAAAAAACTTACTTCAATTATGCCTGTTCATGTAGTCAAAATTTTTCAAAAGTTATCAAAAAATATCTAGTTTTGGTGTTCATGTATCCAAAAAACTTGCAAAGTATGGGAAATTGAAAGAGCAAAATGACAGTTCTCTAGAAGAAGTTGCAAATTTTTACTGGACACATTTTTGCCAGTAAAAACTTGCAAACGAGAAAACAGCTGATCGCATGTTGCTGGGTGCAATTGAAACGAATAAGGAAATTATTTATGGCGTTCTACAAGTTCAAATTGACAAAAAATAAGACTGTTTATTAGGAAATTGCTACGAATAAACCACAAATTTATAAGCTTTTCATGAAACTTTCAAATTTTTACTGGTTTATGTTCACGTACTTTTTGGATACTTTTCTCTATGACAACAAATTCTCAGAAATTAGGTGAGTTGATGGAAAGTTACTAGATAATTTTTACATGAACAACAAACCTATTTTGTTTTTGCTTTCGGTAAACAAATGTTAAATTTCAGCTATTCTTCGCTCAAGGAAGGGTAAGTGGAAAATACCAAAACATGGTAGATGAGATCAATGAACTTTGGAACCAACAAAATTTCTAAAAAAAATTCTAAATTGCCTTGCAAAAATACTTTAGGACTCGAGAGGTGCAAAGCGAACTTTTTTTCTGGTACGGTCTAATGTACATACATAGTATAGAACATTAAAAATTCACGAATTCATATTTTTTATCTCCGATTATATGCAGCTAAATACATTAGAACCGCCGAATATAAGCACATTTAATTATTGGAAACTATGCGCGCACTACGACCTACGCCATGCAATCAACTATGTACTACCACCCCGCCCCCTTTCCAACTATGTACAAACTTTAATTATTATTTAATTTCATTTTAAAGCTGACAACCTTCATTGAGCTGTTTCCGTATATGGCAGCAAAAAGCCAATGCATTTTCAGAACGACACAATAAGCGTTTGTTTGTGTGAGTTTGTGTGCAACAAGAGCAAGTCAATTATTTATTTATTTATGCGACAATTTTTATCTACTTTACCAGCATCCAAACGACCGCGTAACTGGCGCTGACGCATCGCGTTCTTCAAAGAAAACCCACACACACTGGCAGCCCAGCCAGCCAAGCCAAGTCTCAAAAGCCAACAAGTTTGCGTAAGCATCATCAACAACCGAGTGGCACGAAGCTTGAGTGGCTGCGTTTGGTTCTCCTTTAAGTTGTTTTTTTTTTTTTTTTTTAGATGCTGTGACATACAATATGCGCGCTATAGAATTGCAATGCGAATAGAGATTGGATTTTATGTGTGGGCGGTCCGTAGAGCGCTGTGCCAGCCACCGAGTACTTGCACATACATATATTTACGTATGTAGGTACTTATACATGATTAGATATTTATGTAAGTAGCTGAAATGATATGCCTTCTAAGCGCCTTCTTCCATCAACATTGCGGAAATGAAAGACTACAGTATTTTGTTTTTATTTAATTGTTATGGTTTTATATTTATTTTAAGAATAAGTAATTAATTACATAAATATATTTTTATTCGGCCAGTTGCAGCGTAGCTATTTCTTTGTTTTTTTTTTTGGGGGGGCATATACATAAACTACAACTGGCCGAATGACCGCATATTAACGTTTTTATTATTTACAACGCGGGTTAGTCTACAGTTTAATAAATAGTGTTTATAGATGATTAAGGAAAAAACACACGCATCACATTTGTAAAAGGTTTTCGGCAGACCGGGCACTTCGAGACCGAGGACGCGCACTTGGCGCATGCTACTACATGACCACAGGGTAAAAACGCCGTGTTGTATTCATCAGCATAGCAAATCTTGCAGAGCTTCTCCTCGGCGATTGTTGCCTGTGTGGATTTCATCTCATCGTTTGCTGCCGTTGTTGTGGTTGTTGTACACGACACCGCCGGTGATTGAGCTGCTGCTGCTGCTGCTGCGGCAAGCGTTGCCTCCGTTGCTGGACAATGTTCATCTGATTCTGGTGCTGCATCCGCGTTTTTACCATTGTTCATTTTGAACTTAGCCGCAACGCTGTCAATAAAACTTTGGCCCTTCAGCAGATTCAAGTAACGACATTTAGGTAACCAGAGCGCATGCTGTTCCCATGGTTCATCGTCATCATCCCAATCCTTGAGGCCACAACCACAGCTAAAGCATTTGACACGATCACCAATACCGGTGTAGAAGAAGCCAGCATCGGCCAGCTGCTTTGGCCGCTGTTTCATGTTGCGTGGCCATTCGGCGAACGAACGTAAACGTGCCGCTTCGATAGCGTACTCAGGATACTCTGGTCGATATAATTGCAATTCGTTGCCACATCTACTGCTGCTGCTGCTGTTGTTGCTGACGTTGGAGTTGTTATGCGTCGCATGGCCACTCGCTATGCTATCATATTGGTAAGTAACGCCAACGGGTGCTGTCGTCGTCAGACCCTCCTCAGCACCAGCCCCTACTGATGGCTCAGCAGCCTCATTTTCCAATTCGAGTCCCTCATTGCCACAAACATCATAACTAATGGGTGGTAAGACGCGATTCAGTGTTTCACCATTGAGCGGGACATTGTTGGTTGTGCGACGTCTCAGCAATGGGCAATTGGGTGAAAAACGTAAATGCTCATTAACGGGCTGATCTTCGCGCTCCCAACGACCGATTTCAACTTCACAGAAATAACATTTCACCTTATCATCTTCGCCCGTATAGAATAGACCAGTTTGCGCTAATTCCTTCTTATTCAGCCACTCCAATGGCCAGTTTTCAAATGTCTTTAAGCGTTCGTCTTCACGTTGATATTTTTCATCCATAGTAAATTGTTCCGGTTTCCATTGATGATGGAACATTTCATTCGTTTTATTATCCGTTACGTCGTAGCTGTTTGTGTAGAAAAATGTTGGACAAAAGTACGACCTCAAACAGTGATGGTTCGAGTTGTTAGCTTTGTAGGTGGAAGGTTTCTCGGTTATGGTTTCAGACATTTTGCTGATATTCGCGTTTACTTTGATTACGGGAGAAAAGTCTACAACTGAGTGTTGGTAATAGTGTATACGAGCTGCGGCTATTGCTGCTGTTGCGGGTATAAGTCTGAAAGAACAATGAAAATAATAAAGGTATAGTTAGTAAATTTATAGATAAGTTTAAAAGTAGATAAAAAAATTGTTGACAAGAAATTATAAAATTACTAGATAAGGAGAATTGTTGCTTCTACTTTACATAACGCTATTGACCAAGTGCTCATATGATTGCCCTGTTGCAATGTTTGCATTGCAACAAGTGCGTATATACTCGTATTATGTAGTCTACGACGAAGTTTTTGAGTAGGGCATAGACCTCGAAGGTGTAGTAGGTATACTTATTGTAAATTGTCTGACCACCCTCATAAATAATTGATATTGTTCGCCAATGAGAACGAGAGTGAAGTTGGTAACAGATAACGCAAAGCTCGACGTTTTTGAAAGATAAGATAGTGGTTGGCGCCTTCAATCCGCATTACTCACACACCCATTCACAAGAAAAATAATGTCTTTCTAAAATTTCGCTTTAATAATTCTTTATCACGATAAAAAATTCGACACTCAGTGAAATTTTGTGCAACATATTTGCTACAAGGTTTGCATTCATCCAAAAAGTTAAACTTAAATACAAAACAAACAAAATAAAAGTAAGAATATTTAAACATGTCTTAGTTTCAATGATAAAGTTTCAGGTTATTTTGCACATTAACAAATTAGTTAATTGAAATTTTTGATTTAAATATTTTTAATTTAATTAATTTAAATTTTTAATGTAATTAATGAAATTTTTGATTTAATTATTTTTAATTCAATTATTAACATGTTTGATTTAATTATTTTTAATTTAATTTACACATTTTTTATTTAGTTATATATTTAATTAATTTATTTATTTTATTAATTTCTTTTTTATTTAATTTTTATATTTGTTATTAATTTTTGTTTATTTTTTTATTCATTTTTTTTATTTACTTAATTTTTTTATTTATTTAATATTTTTTTATATTATTTCTTGAATATTGTTTTTTATATATTATTATTCTATTTCTTACCCACTTTGTGTTTTTTTTTTTAATTTGTTTTTCTTTTTAGCTTTATTTTTTATATCTAATTTAAATTTTTTGTTACATTTTATTTCTTATTTTCTAATAAATCTTCAGTAAGTTTTATTTATTTTTATTACATATTAATTTTTTACATTTATACTTGTTCATGTATTAATTGCAATTATTTTATTTCTTACACTCTTACTAAAATTTTATTAAATTTGTATACTTAATTATTTTTCTTAGTTTTTGTACTTCTTTTCTCGTGTTATTTACGTTGTATTATGCTTCGGTGTTCCTATATTTTCGCTTTGCTCTTTATACTATTTGCGACAATAAAAAACTAAAATTTACATTCTATACGTTCCGTTGCCTCCTAAGTCTCGCGCACAACTGGGCCTGCGAATGCGTTTTCTGAAAGCATTCGGTTGTCGCATATTAATGAACAGTTAATAAAAACTTAGAAAATTAAATACATATCTCTCAAAAGATTGTGTACACTGGAAAAAAAGATCAGAAAAATTACAAAATTAAAAGAACTTACAAATTTAATACAAAAAATTTATATAATACAAATTATCGGAATTAACACTAACTTGTGAAAAAATTGTTTAAGACTTTAAAATTATAAACAAAACTCCAAAAAAATATAAAAAAATGTAAATTAAAAAAAAAAAATATTAAAAAATTAAAAAAATGTATTTAAAAAATTGTAAATTATTAAATTTTAAAAATTCTATTTTTTAATGAAAAAAAAAAATCAATTATATAAAAAATAGACAAAGCCATCGACGAATAAAAAATATATTTGTATGTATGAGAAACCAGAAAATTAAACGAAATAAATACCTTCGATAATCATTTTTTCTTACTCAAAATTAATTTGAAAGTTTTGCGACTTTCTTAACACGTTCAAAGCCATTTGCCAGAGGTTAATTATTCGAAACTGACGTTTTTTTTTTCAAGTGTAAAAACTGAAATTTATCGAAAAAGGGTTGAAGATTTTGCATGCTCCCTCCCGTTTTCCACTCGCTAGAACATTGCTTAGCAAAATTTGTCGGATAAATAGTACATAATTGGATTGAAAGGGGGAGAAAACTGGGCAGCTCATACCAAAATGAAAAAACTATATTTAAAAAAGATTTATTGATAGCTTAAGCAATTCCTAAGCTAATTTAAGAATTTTTTGTTTCTATAAAATTCAAATTTTTCAGTTACGGTATTTTACATTGGTGAAGACGATGTGTACATATGTACATATTTGAAATATGTACATATGTATGTATGTTTATACATGCACCCAAAACGAAGCAAGTCAAAATAAAATTTTTTTCTTTTTCAAGCGGTATCGATTGCCACTTTGTAGAAACGCTTTTTGCTCGCCTTCCAGTTAAGAGCTTATTGGTTTATTGATATTATTATTTATGACTACTAAACTACATACATATGTATTTTCGTTCGTAGAAAAAAACCACTTCACCCCCAAAGCCACAACTCACTTCCTCTTTCCATAGAAATATTCATGCTATGCACTATTTAGTTTTTATACAAATAATTTGTATCTAATTAACGCTTGAAAATAATACATTTGTGCAGCTAGTACACAATTGCAAAATTATGTAATATTTTTTGCATGCAATATTTTTTCACTTTAAAATTGTTTGCCTAGTATGTACCTTCAACACGAACGACGACGATTATACGTAGTATGTATACATGAAAGTTGACGAAGTCACCATTCAACAATAAATGCTTTACACGAAGGCAGTGACTAGCGGCGCCATTTTTATTTTCACTTCCTTTCTTATTTTACACTTTTGGCAAGTTAAGAGAGAATAATCGGTATATATTTACTATACAATTTATTTTCTGCGTGTTAACTTCCGATAGCTGTAACTATGACTGATGTATCCTGACGATGGCTGCTTGATGACTGAATCCTGGAAATGATGAGCCAAGCTAAGGACGAACAACGCAAAATGAGCGAGTAAAAATGCTGCGGCGCAGGACACTATTGCCACGCTGCATGAGTGTACGTACGACGGTAGGTAGTGATGATTAGGGGTGGAATCTCAAGCATGCAGCACCCTTAGCGCCAGACAGCTGCCCGTTATGTACACATACACATGCTCGTTGCTCTCAGCCAGCCAAGGTGTTAGCAGCAGCAGCAGCTGCAGCTGCAAGAAACTTCCTGCATGTGGGAAGGGGGCTAAAGTGTATGGCCTCCGGCGGCAGTGCTAGCGGCAGCGATGACGACCACCGCGAAGTTTCACGCAATTTTGTTAAGCTTCAGCATTAGCGCGTCGACGACAAAACGCTACGGGCGTTTTCCGAACGAGTACTACGTCAACGATGATGAGATGACGAACGTGCTCAGAGCAACCGAAGCTAAGAAGTTACTGTGGCTAAGAACAGTGCACGCTGGAGCATTCGGACACTGCATTGGAGTATGCAACACAAGTGCAGAGTACCTACACGTCGTGTAAGCGTAAGCCGGAAAATTACTCATAAGCGAGCAACGACCGACGACCAACCGAGATATAGGGTAGACCATAAACCAAAGCCAGCCGTCAAGTCGCTACGACCGCGACCGTAAGTAAGTACACATATTTTTTTTGCTAATGGAGAATTCGCAAATCTCTATTTACGCTAAGGGTTGTTGACGCTGCTGGGAAGAAAGTGTATGCTTTTTACGAGTCATAAATCACACGCTGAGTGCCATTGGAACGTAGTGTATGCATTCAGCTGCGCAGGACATTTCCAGCACAGTAATGGCGGCCAGCCAACGACCAGCAACATAAATGTCATCGACAACAACGACGCAAACCCGGCAAGGACGACGACCAGGAGGATGTGAATGCAACCGCAAAAACATGCAACAACATAATGACCATCTTAGAGAGCCCTGAACGGTGGGGTTTTTTAATGTATATACACAATAATCAATGAACCCTACGATGAACGACCTCGGCGGCGAAAAACGGCGATGGCTACGCCACCGACCAGCTAGTTGTAGACGAGCTCGCTGAACGGCGCAAAAGATTGTACGAATAGACTTTTTATTAAATGTTGCAACGTAGTTAGTAGCAATATTGTGGTATTACTTCGGTAGAGGGGAAAGGGGTATTGTCAGACGAAAAGCGCATAATAACATGCTGCCTTGGCTTTCACTCTGCGGTGTGGAGGTGGTTGTTTAAATTGCGATTTTCTTTTTTTTTCAAGCCAGCCATTGTATGCAAGAAAAAATTCACTATATGGCGTTGAAGTGAAATGTGGCAACATAGCAAACTTATGTATATATATGCACGGTATGAAAATTGGTTGCGTATTGGGCGAGTTGCAGGAAAGAAGAGGCGTACAATAGCGTTTGTAAAGTAAAGAAAATAATATTTTCGGTTGTGGTAAATACATATGAAATAAGAGAAAATTTTTGGGAAAATATGGCAATGAAAAATTTTCGGAAAGCATTATGTAACAAGTCGAAATTGTTTACGGGTTAATCTCAAATATGATTTCTATAAAAACAGAAAAATTTTCACCTTGCGGCCACAAAATTCTGTACGTACAGACTTGTCAACAATTAAAAGTAGAAGACAATTAAGTAATAAAATAGTTATTCAGCTTTCTATTTATATTTTAACGATCCTAGTTGTAAATTGCTTACTTGATGAACTTTAGTATGGTTGACTTTAACTAGGGCTTAACGTGCAGTGATGATATCTAGAGACTGCAGAAAAATTAAAAGATTATTTTAAAATTTAATAGGTTTGTTTTTTTTTTTTGCTAGCCCATGAGTGCCTGACAGTGTCCATTTTGTTGGTTCTCGTACTTTTGAGAGCCACTTTGAAAGAGTAATTTTTGTTTTTCACTAGCCCGAGATCACCCGAACAATTTTTCCGGGCGAGTTTGTGAAAACTGTCAAACTGCCAGAAGAAGAGGAAGAATTATAAAAATTCAAATTTTAACCAATAAATATTGCTGTTTTTCTTTGATTGATAAGTGAAGAAACCCAACGTTATTGCGTTCGTTGGCCACGTTTAGTTTCGGCTTGGGTTTTCAACGTTCTCGTGGTTCGGGGCAGTATATTCACTTTAGTGAGAGCATTTGCCCGAAAATGTAAAAAACAAACCTTATGATTCACCCCCTTTTTGCGTACTCCTTGAGAAATCTCTGAGCTTCGTAAGAAATGTAGTGAACTAACTACCTTGCCGGGCTTTAAGGCCAAATTAGATTCTGCTCATTAAAAAAAATAATAATTGCAAGCCATATTTGACTGCCGAAAATTGATTTTCTGCAATTTAAATTGAAAAGGATTGCCGACAAAGACAAAATTTCGAAACCAACAAAAACAACGCATACCTACTCATCTGAACGTCCGTTCAATCCATTCCTTCCAACTGACTTACAACAGCCAGTCGCCAAAAGTCAGGCAAGCAGCATATTGTATTTTCTCGAAGCAGGCGATTGTATGTGAATTGGATTGGATTGGGTTTCATGTAGGTATCCAACAAACAACATTGCAATTGCAGCAGCAACTACGAGAAATTGCTGTTAGCAAGCAAAAAAGCAGCAACAACTACAAAACCAAAGCCAAGCCAATGGAGTCAAGCCAGTCGTTGGGCAATACTAGGAACTCGGCACTCGGCGGCACCAGTTACCAGCAAACAATCAACCTATGTAGTAGCGCGAACCAGCCAGTAAAAGGCAACCAACCAACCGTACCGACAACGATGACGGCAACAGGGACGTACGCGGCGAATGCCACACCACCAACAACTTGGGGGCATTTGCAGCAGACTGTGAGAAAGTTTCAATGGAATGCAGTCAAACAGCAATTTGAGTGCAACATAAAAACAACGCAAGCGGCAACAACAACAACAACAATGCAAGCGACAGCAAAACAATTGAAGTGGCAGCAAAACCAAAAGCAACACCAGCAACAACAACATCAACAAATGCTACTCATACTTGACTAAACGAATTGCTGCAACCAGAGGCAACCGACTCGCTGGCGCAACGCTTGAACGAGTGCGCTTGCATACGCCAGAAAGAGTTGGCAACAACGAACGGGGCAACCAGCCATGCAATGCAAGAAGAACCATCAATGGAAACATGAAAAAGTCGAGTTGATGATTTTGTGTGGAGTGCATGCACACACACATACGTGCACTACCACCCAACAATAGCGCTAGATGGTTTTTTTTACATCCCGTGACGAAAAAAGTGTAAAAAACGTGCATACATACATACATACATACATACATACATACCTAGAAATAATAATTCAACTCATCACAAGCAGACGGCAACAATGCATGGGTCGCCAACATCTGTATGTACACATGTACATACATATATGTATGTATATGCTGTGGCGATTCTAGATTTGTCTGGGAGGGTGGGGGAGAAGGCTAGCTAGCGCACACGGTGCAAATTAGGGATGTTAATTTTTCAGCTTTTTCAGATCCCGGGATTTTTGGGACGCCGTTATCACAATTCCGGGATCCCGGGATTAGTCCCTGGATTTGTCCCGGGATTTAGATATTCATTATTTTTAAACAACTTAATAGAAAAAATTCCTTCGATCTCTCCTACCATAACTACTACTTTTACTACTACTTTTTTATTTAAAGTGGCGTTTTTAGGATTTATATTAAAGCACTTTGTAATTTCAAAGATATGATTAATTCCAAAAATTATCTAAAAAATTCAATGCAATGTAGAATAAAAATATGGGTACCAAATGCAATAGGGGTATTCCATGAGTAAGTGAAACTTTGTGTCCAATTGTAGAGTAGCTTATTGAACATGGAATGCTTGATGAATCAATGCTCAATACCTGAAATTAACGTTTTTTCGAAAAAAAATTTAGTTATATTATTTTATTACACTGTAAATACACTCAAAACTTCAACATTAGAAAAGTAGTTGAATACGACAACATATTTTAATATAGAAGGCTCTGCAAAATCAAGTATTCACAAAGTTATTATTTTTTTGAAGGGGGGAATAAATGTCTCGATCTTTCTGCGCCCCGAAGAAGCAATATTGCATTGAAGAAAAATAGGCATTTAAATTATATAATAGGATAAAATCACTACGGTTTAGCATGTCCAACCCGTGACTAAAAAGTTTTAAACTTCGTATTGCTTAGTTACTACTTTAGGGAGTTTTCTATAATTTCATAACTAGAGTGTGTTTATACTAAGCAGCCCTATTTCATTTCTTTTATTATATTATAAGTACCTACTTAAGAGATTTTGAAACGTTTTATCGTGTCCCGCCCGTGACAATCATTTATAATTTTTTTCTAATGATGCCTAACAATAAAAAAATAAGTTTAACGTTTCAAACCTATGTTTAATGCCACAAAACTCTGAAGTACAGGTTGACTAAACACCATAATACTGTTGGTGGGCTAAGCGATGTAGTAAAAAATTTCGCGTGGCCAGCTCGAAAAGTCAAGATAAGCATTACTATCTTAGAGACGCCAGAGAATTCTATGATGATGGTTGCTTAACAACAATTAAAAGTCAATATTAACAATTACCTGAAAAGTTCCAACCAAGAAAATCTAGAAGTTCGCGAAACTTATAAATTCAATCCAATAAATAGCCTTTAAGTGACAAAGATATACATATGTATCTGCTTACAAGTATTCTAATGCAGATAACTTTTCGGATTAGACATCGATACACAAGATCTTTTCTGACGTTCTATGGTTTTAAGGAATAGCTAAATTTGAGCATGATTTGTCCATGAAATCAGTTTCCAAAAATAACTCAACTCGAGCCACTCTTAAGCCGGTTACTCAATGTCTGGTCAACACTAACAGCAGGTTAGACATCTCTATCGACGTGATAACAGTAGTCGATATACATGTTTAGCCTGTAGTTAGTATTAGTCAGACATACATAGCTATTCTAAACAAACTTGAAAATCATTAAGGCACATTCGAAATTTCGTTGCAATCAAATGCACCGTGCAGAAGTGCATTAGGAAAATGCATATAAAATTTCATGCGTTTGCAAATAATCCTTTCTTCCATGCATTTTAATACATCAATCTGGCGACTTCTAGCTTTCGTTTGGTATAACTATTGCCCCTAAAATAGATCCTGGGGTCAGCAGTATATCGTGCGTCTTACAATGACTCCACTGTCATAAAAGTAGGTCAATTGATCTTGTATTTGACCTCTAACATTTATCATACCTAATCTCTTTGATATGGATCTCACTAGAAGCTTCCTTTCATGAAGAAAATCGTACGTGTCCCACCCGTGACAAAAGTTGTCCCACCCGTGACAGGAGAATTTTGAATTTTTTAATAATAAACAAATAATTCTTATTATGGTTTGTGCTTTGTTGGGATTGCTGGTTCTTTTCTGTATAGTAAAACATCTAATCCAGATAGAAATGTTAAGTAAATTCGCAGACTTTCCTTAAAATATATGTTCTCCAAAAAGCAGTGTCTTTTCTTTGTCCTACCCGTGACGGAAGAAACAGCTCAGAATTTTCCAATATAAAATCAAGTTGGAATATTTTTCGTATTTGGTAATAACTCGTATATTAGTGAACTAGGTGTAGCTTTATCAAAATGTAGAATTGCTTAGTACTTTATACTTAAATTAAAAAAGAAAAACTATTTTTGCTGTACAAATGTCCCACCCGTGACGATGGAATACCCCAATAGGAAATTTCTTTAGAATTTAAAAAATTTTAATTTTTTGAATTCACAAGGACGAATAGGTAGATCTTAAGCTGATAAAGTTAGAAAAATGAAATTCGAGGATGTTATCGAGTTTATAGAAGTCCTTAACATATAATTTTTTCAAAAACAAATATTGCGAAATTTCAAAGAAAAAATTTTAAAAGGGCATTTTCAATACTTACCAGTCCTTATGCACCAAAAAATTGAATCTGATTAAATTTTACAGAATTTCCTTTTTAATTTGATACCCATACTTCTTCTCTAAGCACGTTTCGCTGAATTTTTTAAATCATTTTTGGATTACTGACGTTAGAGTGAAAAACTAAAAACGCAATTTTACTATATTTGGCCCATGGTTTCGCGAATATATTGATATTTGTGTTTAAAATTTGCTATCGCGCAGTGTAATATGTATAATGAGCTAGACATTTATAAAAAAATATTAATTATAAAATATTACTGGTCAAGAAAATGGGTTTCTATTATTGCCATCAGTGCAAATTACAAATCCCGAAAAACCCTGGATTACTTGCCCAGAATCCCGGGATTTCCGGGATCTTAAAAATGCCGGGATCCCGGGTCCCGGGATCCTAGTGTAAATGCACAAGTAAAGTGAAGCAACGAGTTATCATATGCACTAGTAGAATGATTGCGAAAAATTTGGCTGGACAAAAAATAAAATAAAATGAACTATTTTCTTGGAGCTCCAAAAATTGTACGCAGTTGCAAGGCGACAAGCGCGACGAGAGGGGCATGCGGCTTAATGGAAGCTGTGGATTCGCGGAACGAGGGCGGGGTGCCATAGAGGAGTGCAAGTATTGAAAATTTACGGGTTGATGTTGTAAGAATTGTTCGTTGCTCGTTGTAGTGGATTTTTGTTTGTGTTTGCGAAATCGCGCTTTGTCAGCGCGAGTATGAGCTGCTTAATAGAGTAATGATGATGATGATGTTGATGGGGATGGGTCCAAAGGTACAAATCATTGCTTGGCTCAAGCTGCAGGCAGCTCGTCGTAGACTGCAGAAACGATCCAAATGTAAAACGAGCAAAGCGCCAATGTTGTTGGTGTTACCGTTAATATTAATATTGTTCGGTTGTTAGTGCGCGGCCGCTGGTGCAATGGTAGAGCGAGTACATATATACATACATATGTATACAATAAAGCGAATGCAGTTACAATGTTGCTATTGTACAAATGTACAAACAAACAGCATTAATAATGCAATCGGTTTTTTTTGCTTGGTTTTTTTACGCTCTCATCAAATACATACACATGTAAAAGGCCAGTTGAAATAAAAAAAGCTTAAGCTTTGCTAAACAATAAAAAGTAAAACAGACTACTACCCTGAGTGTAAACAGCTGCACAGCAAACCACAAACAGCTTTAAGATAGAGAAAAATATGTTTTGTAATCGCGTTTATTGTTTTTATATGAATAATAAATTTTATTTATAAGCGCTCGGGTAAGCATTGAGAGAAAGAGTTTGCATTAAATATTGTTTTATATAAAAACCCACCGATTTCCTTGGAAACAGTGATCTTTTTTACTTCAGTTCCGGTTAGCGAGTTTAATCGCCTTCCGACGAAACACAGCGTATATGTGTTCAATACAGACTTTTTTATGAAATAAATGTTTGTCACTACTTGAGAACAGCCGCGGTTAAACCCCTGGAAACACAATAAAAGCGACATGTAGGGGGTCAGTAAAAAATATACAAGGAACGAAAGACATGCTAACCTCACTTTTCAATATTTTTCTCAAAATACCTATTAAATAATTGACAACGTTATATATACCAATAATTTCCATAAAAATATATTTTTTCCAAGTAAAAACTTACATTAAATACTAACAGCTGCTGCAGCAATCCAAATTCAATTCGTTTTAATTGTCAATTGAGTAAATATTCGCTTGTACACTTTCCCACGAATGTTCACGAACAGTTCATACGAATATATTTCGTTTCAAGTATTTTTTTTTACTATGTATTCTTGCTCAGTGCAAATTAGTAAAAATAACAAAGAAAAACTACTTAAAATAACTTTATGCAACACAGATTTTTATTATTTATTAGATAACAATTTTAAATTGCTTTTTCTCTTCGTCTAATATTTTTCACAAACTATGTATGTAAATATTTTCCACGTTTTTCTTTGCTGCCTTTATGTTGTAGCTAGATGATGATAGTACGTGCGTGTTGGCACCAACAGACTGAATGCACTAGTGATTCGACGAGCGCGCAGACACCGGAGACGAAGCCAAAACCGACCATGGCATGGAGACTACCGCTGTGCGGAAACCGAATTGAAGAGACCAAAAATAAAATGTCTGCATTGGAAAAATATAGTAGCATAGCAATGCAAGGCAACCGGAGTAGCAAGCAGCAGCATAGGGGTGGCAGTGCTGCCAGATGAGAGTGAGAAAAAATACAGCAGCGATGTGGAGAGAGAGGGTGTTTTGTTTGTGAACATGTGATGGGAAAAGAAGTCAAACGGGCAGGCAGGCAGGCTGGATGGCTAGAAGGCAGGTAGGTAGGTGGGTTGGAAT